CAGTCAGGCTCCATCATGTTTCTCCAGTCAGTCTCTACCATGTTTCTCCAGTCAGACTCCACCATGTTTCTCCAGTCAGGCTCCATTATGTTTCTCTACTCTGTGCTTCCCAGTGACTAGGCTGACCCTGGTTTGAGTCCAGCTTTTCCTGTGGGACATGCTGTTTCCCTACCCTGGCTCACTGGGGCTGGCTACCATGGAGGGTGGGATCTTCATGAGTCTACCAGAGCAGTGAAACTCCAAGAGAGGGGAGACAACTGTAGTTGGAGTGTACCTTATGGATGACCTCCGTCAACTCAAAGGCCTCATCTGGTGGTCTTCTATCTTCTGGCCCTGGCTGGAAGTGTATATATACTAGTCAAAACAAACAAGCAAAAACCCCAGACGTTTTCTCTCACCTAGATAGGCCCGCTCATTCCTTCAATATATATTCATTTAGTATCCTTTGTGACTCTCTCCCCAATCCCAATAGCAAAGTACTGGTTACCTGTCTCATACTGGGATGGAAGTTATACTTTCTATGAATGAAGAACTGAACTGAGTTTTATCTAAAGTCTGTGAGGGTGAGCTTGCCAATCCCTGAGTGGTATACTCTTTCAGGACATTGTTCTGAAGATGATGGGCGGTGAACTGCTGAATGAAAATTTTGGCAAAATCTGGAGCCTGACTTAGGGACTGTATTAGCTAGAAATTGCATTTGCCTACAAGTAACCGAGATTTAAAAAAAAAAAAAACAACTTAAGTAAAACAAGTTTATTTCTTTTTCATGTAACAGAAATTGAAAGGTTAACAGCCAAGGACTGATAAGGTGGCTTCATGATGTTAGCAGTTGAGCCACTGTGCTTGGCTGCTCAGGTTGTGCACTGCGCAGCTCCAGGAAATGTCATTCACATGGACTATATGATAAAAACATAAATCATACTTAGGCAAACCTACAGAGACAGGAAGTAGATTCTTGGTTTAGGGCTTTAAAAATGAAACGGGGAACGCCTGTTTCTAATGTCGGCATTTAGTGCTATGTATTTCCCTCTCGGTGCTGTGTTAGCTGTTTCCCACATATGTTGATATGTTTTGTTTTTATTTTCACTCAGTTCTATGTATTTTTTAAATTTCCTTTGAGACTTTTTTTTGACCCATGGATTATTTAAAAGTGTGTTTTTTTTAATTTCTGGAGCCCTGGTGGTAGTGTGGTTAAGAGCTCAGGCTGCTAACCAAAAAGTTGGCAGTTCAAATCCACCAGCTGCTCCTTGGAATCCCTATGGGGCAGTTCTACTCTGTCCTATAGGGTTACTATGAGTCCAAATTGACTCGATGGCAATGGGTTTGGTTTTTGTCTTTAATTTCCATGTGTTTAGAGATTTTCCTATTGTCTTTGCATTATTGATTTCTAGTTTAATTCCATTATGATCAGAGAACACACTATGCTTTAAATTCCTTAAATTTGTTGAGGTTTGTTTTGTCATGCAGGATATGGTCTATCTTGGTTAATGTTCCATGGACACTTATAAAAAAATATGTATTCTGCTATTTTTGAGCGGAGAGTTCTATATATGTCAATCAGATCCTGTTGGTTATGCTGTTCAGATATTATACGTATTTGCTGATTTTCTGTTAGTTTTATCACTTGCTGGGGCAGGGGGTGTTGGTGTTTTTTCATCTGAAGTGTACCTTGTCAGATAATAATATAACCATTCCTTTTTTTAGTAACAACTTTATCGAGACATAATTCATATGTCACACAATTCACCCACTTAAAGGGTACAATTCAATAGTTGAGAGTATATTCACAGAGTTGTGCAACTATCACCACTTTCAACTTTAGAACATTTCAGCATTGCCGAAAGAAATGCTGTACCTATTAGCAGTCATTCCCCATTTCCTTCCAACCCACCTAGCCCTAGGAACCACTAATTTACTTTCTGTCTCTGTAGATTTGCCTATTCTATATTTACCATAAATGCGATCATCTTTTATGACTGACTTCTTTCACTTAGGATAATATTTTTGAGATTCATCCATATCATAACATGTATCAGTACTTCATTTCCTTTTATTGCCAAAAAATTCCATTGTAAGTTTCTGCATTTTTTATCATTAACGTTTGCATGGTATATTACAAACCTTTATTTTCAACCTACTTATGTCATTGCATTTGAAGTGAATTTCTTGCAGGAAGTGTATAGTTGGGTCACTTTGTCCACACTGGAAGTCTCAGGGAATGTAGTTTAATTAACTAGATGCATTGCTTCCCAGAAAAATGAAGGTAAGTATTGGGTAGGCAACTAGCAGTCTCTACCATAGGGCCTGAGATGGAAATCAGGTGACCATCCATGGATGAAAAAGATCCGTTTGCAGTGATTGGTGTAAACAGGGGCCCAGTGTTGAAGATGTCATGTACCATCTTTGTAAGGATATCCGCAACCACCAAATTAGTGTTAGGGCCATGCCATGGAGTTAGTTCATAAGTGAAATCCAGGGTAGCTAAATTTGGAAGGCCTCTGGGGACCCATGAAGGGTTGTAATTGTCTCTAGTTCACTCAGGTTGGTGTTTGGCCTTAGCACAGATATCCCCAGTGTTGGCATATTGGAGGGTACTGGTTCTCATGTGGAGCCACCAAAAGTTCCTGTAGACAGTATTCATTGCCTTCACTGAGCCATGCTAAGCTATGGTAAGCTATGGATGCACAGTCAGCACTCTCTTTTAGAAGACCACTAGACCCTCTGCTGCTGCTGAACCCCTAAGTTGGCCTTAGAGCTCCAGAGAGCCTACATGGAAGTGTCTGTTTTCTGCCCATGCAGAATAACCTTGGCCACGAAGTTTTCTGGGTGGATGGTCTCCCAGTGTAAGAGCATGTCCACTGTCTCCCACACAAAGATCCAAGACAAAGCCCCTTCCCAGTGTTTTTGATGGCCTGGCATATCTGAAATAACAAGTGTAAAGCCCTTGTAAAATGCAACCCATGTATCCTTTTTGATCTGAGTCTCTGAGTCTGCTGCTGAGTCCATTTGAAACTGTAACTCTAATTCTTTAATGCGACCTGGTGTCAACCAGCTTATTTTCTCAAGAAAGAGACACAGGGTGATGGTTCCAGGAATGTGGGGGTGGTATTGTGGGTCTCTGGCCTTCTCTATATGGACTGTCTGATAGCAGTGCCCATAGTCATTAGTGTGGTCTGGAAATGGGTGGAGAACAGGACTTGCCAGACCATATCCTGATCCATAAAGTTGGCTGACACCCTTGAGGGTGTCTACATTTTCATGGACAGGTCCATACCACATGGGGCTTCACCACAGAGCGTCACCAGCTTGTGAAAGTGTGGGTGGGGAGACAGGGATATTGCCAGGAAGGTATTGCCAGCTGATTTCAATTCTATGAACACAGTACACCAGTTCAGAGAGGATGCAGAGTTTGGAAGATAGTTAGGGGCTATGCCAGTTACCTCTGAGACTTTCCAGGAATCAAGACTGCACAGCTGGTCCATTCCTGATCGACAGCTAGTGGATTTATTGAAATGGCCCCTGATGGAATCTGTAGAAATCAAGATGACCTTCTTATGATCAGAAGGCACTGACCTGACTGAGGCTTGGGTAGTTATAAAACCATGTTCTCCTTGGCCCATGGAGAAGTATAGCTCACTTCTTTGCTCACCCCTCCAAGCAGGAAACCATAAATGTAACTCCTTTTGCTGACCTTTTTAAACCCTGGGACTTACTATGGCTTGACACGAACCCATTTGAAGGAGAAGCTTGGCAAGGTCTTCAAAAGCTACTCAGAGCTCCAGGAGAAACAGCAACGAGAATGGGGTTGGGTGGGTGGAGTACTGCAGAGAGGCTTATTGAACAAGGGCAATCTGGTTTCCAAGCCCTAACATAGTTCCTTTAGCCACATTTGAGCTTCTGTATACTGGAGGGTGTTCTTGTGTCTTGGGAAGCAAGCTTCGCTGAGTAAATTTTAGAATCCACTACTAGCCACTGGGTATCCATCAACACTCCCTACACATTACGTTGTAAGGCTGCTGATGATTCTGGGTGTGTCTTCAGTAGCTCTCTGACTGAGAATTAGTAGCTACCTGGGAATTCATTATATTTGGCATATTGGCCTGGAATACTCTTTCTCCAGATAGCCCCATGGTTCTTCAGAATGTTTAGGCATCTGCATAAACATTACCTCCTCAGACAAGCCTTCTTTGACCATTCTATCTGAAATCGATGTGTGTGTATATGTGTGTTTGTGTGTGTGTATGTGTGTATGCACACACACACACCACTCTATCCCTGTTTATATTTCTTTTTAGGACTGATCACTATGTAACATTATATTATCTATCTATCTATTATATCTACTTGGAGCCCTGATGTTGCAGTGGTTAAAAGCTGGGCTGCAAACCAAAAGGTCGGCAGTTCAAATCCTTGGAAACCCTATGGGGCAGTTCTACTCTGTTGTATAGGGTCGCTATGAGTCGCAATGGACTACGAGGCAACAGGTTTTGGTTTTGGTTTTTATTATACATATCTCTATTTATGCACCAGCCACTAATGCCAAAGATGAAGAAATTGAAGATTTTTACCAACTTCTGCAGCCTGAAATAGATCAAACATGCAATCAAGATGCATTGATAATTACTAGTGATTGGAATGTGAAAGTTGAAAACAAAGAAGAAAGATTAATAGTTGGAAAATATGGCCTTGGTGATAAAAATGATGCTGGAGATTGCATGATAGAATTTTTCGAGACCAACTACTTATTCATCACAAACACCTTTTTTTCAACAAGATAAATAGTGACTATACACATGGACCACGTCGAATGCAATACACAGAAATCAAATCGACTACATCTGTGGAAAGAGATGATGAAGAAGCTCCAATCATTAGTCACAACAAGGCCAGGGGCCAACTGTGGAACAGACCATCAATTGCTCATATACAAATTCAAGTTGAAGCTGAAGAAAATTAAAACAAGTCCGTGAGAGCCAAGGTATGATCTTGAGTATATTGCACCTGAATTTAGAGACCATCTCAAGAACAGATTTGAAGTATTGAACACCAATAACCGAAAACCAGACAAGCTGTGGGAGAACATCATACATGAAGAAAGCAAGAAGTTATTAAAAAGACAGGAAAGAAAGAAAAGAACAAAATGGATATCAGAAGAGACTCTGAAACTTGCTCTTGAACATAGAATAGCTAAAGCGAATGGAAGAAATGATGAAATAAAAAAGCTGAACAGAAGATTTGAAAAGGCAGCTCAAGAAGACAAAGTAAAGTATTATAATAAAATGTGCAAAGACCTGGAGTTAGAAAACCCAAAGGGAAGAACACGCTCAGCATTTCTCAAGCTGAAAGAACTGAAGAAAAAATTAAAGCCTCGAGTTGCAATATTGAAGGATTCTGTAGGGAAAATGGGGCCCTGGTGGCACAGTGGTTAAGAGCTTGGCTGCTGCCCAAAAGGTCAGCAGTTTGAATCCACCAGCCACTCCTTGGAAACCCTATGGGGCAGTTCTACCCTGACCTATAGGGTTGCTATGAATCAGAATCGACTTGATGGCAACTGGTTTTGACTTGTTTTGTTTTATGGGCAAAATATTGAACGACACAAGAAGCATCAAAAGGAGATCGAAGGAATACACAGAGTCACTATAGCAGAAGCAATTGGTGAATGTGCAACCATTTCAGGAGGTAGCATGATCAAAAACCGATGATATTGAAGGAAGAAATCCGCTGCACTGAAGGCATCATCGAAGAACAAGGCAATGCGTTGTTTGATTTCTTGACTGCTGCTTCCGTGGCCATTGATTGTGGATCCAAGTAAAATAAATTTCTTGACAACTTCAATATTTTCTCTGTTTATCATGATGTTGCTTCTTGGTCCAGTTGTGAGGATTTTTGTTTTCCTTATCTTGAGGGGTAATCTTCATCAGTAAGTGCTTCAAGTCCTCTTCACTTAAAATACATCATATTGCACTGGGCAAACTTCTGCAAAAGACCTCTTTACGGTGTTCAAAAGCCAAGATGTCATCTTGAGGATTAAGGTATGCCTGACCCAAGCCATGCTATTTTCAATCATGTCATATGCATGCATGTCATATGCATTGTCAAGCTAGACAATGAAGAAGGAAGACCAAAGAAGACTGATGCATTTGAATTATGGTGTTGGCGAAGAATATTGGATATACTATGGGCTGCCAAAAGAATGAACAGATCTCTCTTGGAACAAGTACAGCCAGAATGCTCCTTAGAAAGGAGGATGGTGAGATTGCTATGAGTCAGAATCCACTCCACGGCAACAGGTTTTGGTTTTGCTTTTTATTGTATCTATTACGCTGAGATCGCTGAGTCAGAATTGACTTCACAGCAACAGGTTTTGGTTTTGCTTTTTATTATATCTATCTATTACACACCAACCACTAATGCTAAAAATGAAGAAATTGAGGAAGGGAAGTTTTTGGGGAGTGGGAAAGATAGCAGCAAAGACAGTGAACCAGGTTTGAATACCTATCACCCTCTGCAATATTTCCCTTCCCTCCTTCTTACCCTCTCTCTTCTCTTCCTTCTTTCCTTTCATGGAATCAGAAACCTTTATGGAATGAGGTGATCAGGAAAGCCTTCACAGAAGAAATGAGACAAAACAGCTTTGAAAGCCATGTTTCCTTTCAACGTCAGCATGGTTGGACCACATATGGAAATATCTTATTTCTGGTTGCATACTAAATGCTTTTTTATGTATTGCCTTTTCACTCTTCTTGCTTTCCTTCATTAGCATGAATAATTCAGATTTGGTTCTTTTTAGATGTAATTCTTGTCCTAAGACCTGCCTCTGTTAGCAAGTAAATTTGAGGCTAAAAATATTATTTCTTCTTCCTAGGATGAAGTGAACCAGATCATGGAAACCAATCTGTGGCTGCGTCATGTATGTGTCTGCATCATCTCTTCCTCTCTTTGAACTGTGTTACTCATGTGTTAGTTTAATAATATCTAATGGATAAAATGTACTAGCATTCCCTCTTTCCATCACCAAGTTGGGATAGAGTATAAAATATTACCCATCCTGTCATCTCCAAACCCTAAAATTCATCTCTGGTAACAGCTGGCTTGAAGCAAGTTTCACAAGTGCAGAAATGTGTTGGCAAAGGTCTCTCTGACATAGATTTTTTTCTGTCATATCTCATTTCTGCTCTCAGTCTCCTATTTTTATCTGTAATTTGAGTTCCAAAGTCAGATGCTTGTCTCCTCTTTGATCCCTGCTGCGCCAGACCTGGGGAAGTCCGTAGCTCAACACAAGAGCAAGTAGGTTCTAATCCCACCAGCTGGTTTTTTTTCAGTTATGCCATCTCTTCCTTTCCATCTTAACCTTTACACAGACTTTTAGACAAACACATCATCATACACTTAAACTATCATTTTAATAAGAAAATAGGTTGCTACTTCAGGTTACATATTCTATAGAATATGGAGATTGAGCCTGTAATCTTGGCCAACTAATTAATAATCAATAGCTAATTAATTATCTAATTAATTATTTGCCAAAGTTAGCTCAGTTACCTAGCTCCCCATACTCCATGGATTTAATCTCCCAAACATTTGATACAAACCAATGTACTCTTCAAAACTCACTCAACCTCAACCAAGTACAAATAACACTAAAAAAATTAAACAAAAAACAAATGTTTAATCAACATAAAATTAACATTGGGAGAAAGTTACTAAGAATTTTTTAAGTGACTCCTATTTCCTTTAGATCTGGAATGATTATAAATTGCGATGGGATCCAATGGAATATGACGGCATTGAGACTCTTCGTGTTCCTGCTGATAAGATATGGAAGCCTGATATTGTTCTCTATAACAAGTATGGGCGTCTGACAGCCATTGTCTCTTTCCAAAGTTGTCTTTGATGCATGCTGACCAGCAAAGCGGGTGTTGCTAATGGTGTCTGATTTACTTTACAGTGCTGTTGGCGACTTCCAAGGGGACGGCAAGACAAAAGCTCTTCTTAAATACGATGGCATGATAACCTGGACTCCACCGGCTATTTTTAAGAGTTCCTGTCTTATGGATATCACCTTCTTCCCTTTTGATCATCAAAATTGTTCCCTGAAATTTGGTTCCTGGACATACGACAAAGCTAAAATCGATCTTCTAATTATTGGTTCTAAAGTAGATATGAATGATTTTTGGGAAAATAGTGAATGGGAAATTGTTGATGCTTCTGGCTATAAGCATGACATAAAGTATAACTGCTGTGAAGAGATATACACAGATATAACCTATTCTTTTTACATTAGAAGACTGCCAATGTTTTATACCATTAATCTGATTATCCCTTGTCTCTTTATTTCATTTCTAACTGTGTTGGTCTTTTATCTTCCTTCTGACTGTGGTGAAAAAGTGACGCTTTGCATTTCAGTTCTGCTTTCTCTGACTGTGTTTTTGCTGGTCATCACAGAAACCATCCCATCCACGTCCCTTGTGATTCCATTGGTGGGTGAGTACCTACTGTTCACCATGATCTTTGTCACCCTTTCCATTGTGGTGACTGTCTTTGTGCTGAACATACACTATCGTACTCCAACCACACACACCATGCCCAAGTGGGTAAAGACGGTTTTCCTTCAGCTATTACCCCACATCCTGATGATGAGGAGGCCTCTGGACAAGATGAAGGAGACATGTTCTGACAAAAACCCCAAAGGTATTTCCAGCAAGCCAGCCAAAGTCAAGTCTGCTAACCGCAGAAAGCCCAATCTTAAAGAATGCTGCCTCTGTAATAAATCAAGGGAGCTTACCACGACCAGCAAGAGAAGATTAAGTCATCAGCCTTTACAGTGGATGACTGAAAATTTGGAGCACTCCCCTGAAGTTGAAGATGTGATTAACAGTGTTCATTTCATTGCAGAAAACATGAAGAACCAAAATGAAACAAAGGAGGTAAATACACATCTCCTCTGGCCTGCCCAGTTTTCACCCTTAGCAGGCTTAGAGGCACTTTATACACATGGCCACATTGTAAGTGTGAGGTCTGTATACAAGGCGCGGTCAGGCAGCCTTACTCTAAAGATCCAGCTCTCTTATGTGTGGAGTGATGAGTCATACCTGGACATAGGGTGGGGTAAGATATACTACCAGGGCAAAGTTCTGTCTCCAGACATTTTAACTCAAGTGGAATCTGGTTAAAATAAGCATTAAAGGCAACCTTGGTTAATGAACCAAGAACTGCTGCACAAGGAACAATGGCAGATAGAAGGGTGGAAAGGGAAAAGCTGCCCTCAGAGAGGAAGGAGAAATGTCACAAGAGCAGCTTGCAGTCTGAAGGCAGTGAGAGAAGGTGTGAATGAACCTTCCGCTAGCTCGGATCCCACTCATTCTAAATGAGAGGAACTTGGGTGTTGATTGAATAAGCCTCAGGGATATTTTTAGCACCAGCTCTCAGTACCATTTTCTCCTCCTGCTGCTCAGAGTCTTACTATAGCAGCATGCCTATTATAGTTCCATACCATAAGTATGACTAGCTGAGGGCATCTGAAAATTTGTGTTAGGTGTTTGGGTTCTACCTCATACCACAGCTCCAGGTGTCCCTATCTTCTAGTGAAGAGATATTGGGAGACCTGAAGTCTACTCTGTTGGTGTAGGGGAAGATGCCATGAATACCTGTCACACAGGTTGGAGGGGGGGTGCATCAAGGGACAAGAAAGCTCAGCAAAACTGGCAATGTGGCATCTTCATAAAATCTAGGAGAGACTTGTTACTGACTTAATCACCACCAGACAGGCTTTCAAGGCACAACCACAGAGCCTTAGCAGAGAACTGGAAAGAGATGACAAATGCAAGAAACTCTCCACAACGAGCTTCACTTCGAGGTCTGGAGGGTGGGCTATTCTTGATAAGAATATCCTCAATCATACTCCCTGTCCTAACACCCTTTTTCCACCCCCACCCACCCACCCCCGCCTCAAACCTGTTTCCCAGACTTTCCAAGGGGCCAGAATACCCCGTTGTGCAAATACAAGAGTAGAGATATCTGAGCAACTATTTCTTGTGTAGTCAAGAAAGGTCCTTTGTGACCCATGGACTCATTAATTATTTAGGTCTTCTGCATACTCTGTACCCAGTTGCATGAGATATTTTTTTCCTCAGACCAAGCAAAATTTCTCATGTGTACTATGTAGGGGGCACAGGTTAGCCAAAATAATACCAATATTTGTTTAAAAAATGTCCAGGGGAATCTTCTTTGAAAAGGAAGAAATTTATTTATGAAACAGAGCATGTTTCCTTTGGTTTTGACTTAAAAATATTGCTTTGACTATTTGCATTTCAGGTAGAAGATGACTGGAAATATGTGGCCATGGTGGTGGACAGAGTATTTCTTTGGATATTTATCACTGTTTGTGTGTTTGGTACTGCAGGGCTATTTCTACAGCCACTACTTGGGAACACAGGAAACTCTTAAGATGTATGAAACTTGAAAACACTTTAATTGTTTTGTGTTCCCTACCATAAGGAAAAAGACATAAACTTCCTACCCAGTCCCCCATCTACCGAAGCCGATGACTAGATGGATAAAGAGGACTATCTTGCAGAAGAGGCACCTGAATGCCTTCCTTTGTAGATGTTTTATAATGCAGGAGTCCAGAGCTGGCATCACTCACAGGCTAAGAGTATCAGGTCAGGCGTCTCCTGTCTGTACATGGGAGGCTTCCAAGGACGTGACTGACCGGCGGTACAACCAAACCATGTAATTAACATCAAGCCATACTAAGAAGAGTTTTGTTGTACCTCCAGTTTATGCAGTTTATCAGTGTAATGACACGTGCCAGCTGTGAAACTCTGGGACTTGGACCTTGCTGACATTTGCAACACCTGTAATACCCTTGCTTTCCTGTGCATGCCTCTGTGATGTTCCTCACACATATCAGCAATTTTTGATAGATTAATTGGTAACAATAATAACAGTTAGTCAGTGTCTATCTTAGTAAGCTGTATTTAATTAGCATTCATCTGTCAAGAGCCTTGAGTGGTAGCCCAGCCCTATGCTAGGCGTTGTAAAGGTAATATAAATAGGTTCTGTCTCCAAGCACTTGCAGCTTTTTAGGAAAAGTCATATATACAAGATCAGGCAGGTATTATGTGGGGAATGTCACTAGCGGGAACAGATTACCTGTTAAGCAAGGTAAGCACGTGCTTATTTAAGGCATCAACAAAACAGGGGCACCAGTTGTCCAAAGCAAAGAGCCATAGATGCCAAGCAGACAGGACACAAGGAAAATCGATCACTGCAGTGGAAGGGAACTGGCAGGGCACTAAATGAAACCGATACCAGCTCCAGTGTGTGAGACTGTGCCAGCTGGAAATAAAGTTCCCACAGGGTCATGAGGACGTGCACACACAAGGTTGTTGAAGCTATGAGGCCCACTTCAACACCTTTGTTGACATCTGTCTCCTACGATCCCCTCCCATGTAATTGAAACTCCTTATTTGGGTAGGTCTCTGGGGAGTATACTATTTCTTTCTAATAAACAAGAGGTGGGGGTGGACTGTCGAGTCTAACTCTTGTTACATTCAAACACTACGCAACTGGATCCAAAGTGAGCAGTTACAGGGCGAGGAGGGATTGTATTAATAGATAATAGGTCTCTGATCCATTTTGAGAGAGCCATCTTGTACATCCATGTCTGCTGATCCAGCAACTCCAGACAGGAGGGCCAGCAATGCTCTTTGTCATGATACAAACACAAGGGTATGCTCTTGTGCACATCCTGGTAAACAACCAATGGGTTACAGATAGTTTGTTGTAATATCTGTTTTCTGATCGCTAAATTTTCTTTCATGACATCTTTTAATTTGATAATTTATAGTTATAACATTTATTATGAAAGAAACATCAGAATTGAAGTATGAGATTTTTAAAGCAAAGTTGGCGAAAGTCAAATTTTCATTGTGGGAGATCAACAGAATTTTATATTGACTGTTGAAACAACTAAGTTCACTGACTCATTTTCTTTGTTGTAGAATAAATGGAATATTCTTTTTGTAGAAAACGTGGTACATAGTAAAAATCTTAGTACCCCACATCCATTAAAAATTTTATAATCCAATTCATCTCATTCCGCTAAAATGGCATACGCCACTTTTGTGTTCTATTCATAATATTATAGTCGCATTTAAAAAGAGTTACATCATGGATAGCTAAGACACACACACACATATATATATACATGTATATATCTGATTCACATATCCTGTTTGAATGTGTGAGTAAGCAGAGGAGAGGACACCACAGATTACTGGTGTCTAGGGCCCTCACATGCTTTAATCTGGCCTTGGTCACTACAGCAATCAAAATAAAAGAACGTGATGTGGTGTGGCCAGGCAAACCTAAACAACCTTGGCTGTAGGCTGAGAGAAGGTCTTCTTCTAGTCTTTTCTCATCAATCGGTTCCAGTTGTGCATTGTATCTGAGATGGAAAATACAGTTGTTTCTTGTATAAGAAATTATGATCTTGTATCTTTTGGGGCAATTCCTTTTCTGAGAGAGAGAATCTTGGGAATTCTGTTTTATTCCACCCTATGTTATCTTATTTGTTGTATAAATATTACTAAAACAATTTTAAAGATGTATCTTAAAGCAGAAAAAATAAATAAATCTAATCTAGCACAGAAACTAATTTCATTTTTGCCTTTTCCCTTCCAGTCTTTGCCTATAGGCACACATAATTTTACATTTCAGTTTGACTTTTCAATTTCGTATTTTGCTTTTTCTCAAAATATGATATCAGCAACATTTTCTCCATGTTGTTACATAGCCTTGAAGTTTAGTTTTTATGATTGCATAATCTCTGTTGTGTTGATATACTGTAATTTCTGTTACCACAATGTAAATTCTTTTTCTTTTTTTATGAAGCATAAGGCACTCTGTAGCATATCAGCCAGAGGTTTTGAATTGAATTACTCTGTTTTAAGGTATTTTTACTCCCTCTCTTATTTGTGATTGTGGTATCAATATTTTATTTTACAATCTTTACAGAGGACTGGTTATTATTTGATAATTTTTTTTAATAGCCTGAGGGTAAAAACATGTATACCAGAACTAAACAAAAGAGATTGAATGATTTTGTAATATATTATGCGGGAAAAAGGCCTCAAAGGTAGAATTTTAAAGCAAGACTTTTAAGAACTACAGTGCGGGTAAATAAGAGAGTGCTCCCAGACAGAGGTGAGGAAACCCCTATGCTGACTTCTTAACACATTCTTTTCTTTTTTTAATATTTTATTTTTCTTGTTGTTGATAATATACTCAGCAAAACATATAGCAATTCAACAGTTTCTACATGGACAATTCAGTGTTATTGATTATATTCTTCGAGTTGTGCAACTATTCTCATCCTCCTTTTCTGAATCATTCCTCTCCCATTAACATAAATTTGCTGCCCACTAAGGTTCCTATCTAATCTTTTGAGTTACTGTTGTCAATTTGATCCCATTTAGATAGATCTTAAAAGAGCATAATCCTTAAGGCAGACATTCTTTACTAGTTAAACTATAGCTTAGTTTTAAGAAGACTTCGGGGGATATTTTTGGTTTAAGGTTTAAAGATTATCTCAGGGCAGACCAGAAGAACTAGATGGTGCCCAGCTACCACTAATGACCACCCTGACAGGGAACACAATAGAGAGTCCCTGACAGAGCAGGAGAAAAGTGGGGTGCAGAACTCAAATTCTAGTAAAAAGACCAGACTTAATTGTTGGATTGAGACTGGAGGGACCCTGGAAGACATGGCCCCAGGACTCTCTGTTAGCACAAAACTAAAACCATTCCTGAGGCCAACTCTTTAGACAAAGATTAGACTTGACTATGGGACATAAAATGATACTCGTGAAAAGTGTGCTTCTTAGCTCAAGTAGATGCATGAGACTAAATGGGCAGCTTCTGTCCAGAGGCTAGATGAGGGGGTCAGGAGCTGGTTGAATGGACACGGGAAATCTGGGGTGGAAAGAAGGAGTGTGCTGTCACAGTATAGGGAGAGCAACTAGGGTCACATAATAATGTATGTATAAATTTTTGTATGAGAGACTAACTTAAATTGTAAACTTCCACTTAAAGCACAACAATTTAAAAAAAAAAAGATTATCTCAGGGCAATAGTTTTAAAGGTTCATCCAGCCTCCATGGCTCCAGAAAATCTGGATTCCATGAGAATTTGAATATTTGTACTGCATTTCCCTCCCTTTGATCAGAATTTCTCTATAGAATCTTTGATCAAAACTTTCAGTAATGGTAGCTGGGCACCATCCAGTTCTGGTGTCATGGCAAAGGAGGCGGTTGTTCATGGTGTGGCTACGTATTCTATGCCCTCTTCCTATTCCTGACTCTCCTTTTTCCTCTGTTGCTCCAGGAGAACAGAGACCAATTGTTGTGCTTTGAGGGTCGCTTGCAAACTTTTAAGACCCCAGGCACTACACAACAAACTAGGAGGTAGAACAAAAGCATTAAACACTTAATACATTCTTTTTACTTTAGTATGCTTCAGACCCCCCAACATACCCTTCCAGGAGTTGCTTAGTGACCTACAAGAAAGGAGGGTCTTGTACTCAGAAGTAAACAAAGTAACAACATACATTTTAAAAGAAGTAAAATAAGCATAAAACAGGGACGATGGCAGTGCCTGAGATAGTCTTCACAATTTTTCTTTTCCTTTTTTCTATTATATCTCTTCGGATTCTGTGTTTTCTAGCCTGACTGAATTTCCTCTTGCAGCCTAGGCTGGGACCATCTCTGAGCATTCCAGTGGGCATGTCTGATTCTACAACAGGCCAGGCCACCCTGCCCCTGTGGCAGGTAACCCTGCCTGGGTGTGTGACAATCCACATCAGTAGATGTAGTGCTGCTCTGAGCTAGTTTTCCCAAACCTCAAGCTTATGTCCATGAGGAGCAAAGAAATGTAGGATTTTTATTTTCACTATTATTTTATTGACATACTGAAAAGAAAATCTTAATACAAAGAAGTAGCACGTCAGTTTAAATATAAATGGTAGTCTCCATGGCTGTTAATTAAATGATTTATTTTTGACACATAGTAGTAGGTGCTGTAGAGAAAGAATTATGATACAACCAAAAGGTCTATCCTAGCATAAAAGTATTACTCTTTGAAAATTATAGTGTTCCAATGTAGCTGGTTAGAGAGCACATTTAAAGGGACCAAGGTCATTGGTGAGAGCCATTATGACTTTGCCGTGTTCTATGGCAACAGGTTGATCACTAAATTTATCACTGGATACAATGGAGAGAACAGGCTGTCATCACTTTAACCTAGGAATTAATCTTAACACTAACCATGAGACCACCAGACAGTGTATCTCCTGACAGAATGCAATGTGAACTATACATCATCATCTATGATGTATTTCTGCCGAAAATATTAAACTGGAGTTACACTTAAGATTACAGTTCTAATTTCCAGTTTACAGGAAATACAGGAGAGAGAGGAACAAGTAAAATGATACTACAAGGAAGCTACCAGACAAATCCAAAAGTGGGACATTCTTGGGGAAAACTGATCTAGTTACTTCAGCGAATCAGTGCCAAGAAGAGATTAAAACAGATTTAAGAGACATAACAAAATGCTCCTGGGTTGAAGACAAGCTAACTAGATTTAGACAAGCTAACTGTAAAGGGTATTTTGAGAGTTACAGAAAATTGAATATAGAATGATTAATTTTGAGAAGCATGATAATGTTATTTTGGAAATTCTGTAATGTAAGGAAATATTTTTTAAGATACACACTGAAAATAATATATATGTAGATATAAAAACCAAACCCATTGCCGTAGA